AATTCCATACTCATGGAGAAAAATTTGCATGGTTGGAGAATGAGGCGTGGCACCTCCCATATAAACCGAACTTTTCATATTGCATATTTCTGGAAGTGTTCATGGTAGACTGTAAGCCTTTTTAAAACTCTTTAGTTTGACACCCACATGCCAACATTGCATTTACTTTATCAATTTAACTGAGTTACAATTTCCAAATAGGTGGCAGCCCCCCTCAAAAATATTTCCAACAGTTATCTTTCTTAAACCTCTTTAATTTGATACCCATATTGTAATATTTTATTTATTTTATCAATGTAATTTAGTTAAATTTTCAAACAGATGGCAACCCTCCTCAAACATATTTTCGGCAATAAGCATTCTTAAAACTCTTTAGTTTGACACCCACATAGCAATATTTAATTTTTTTTTTTACAATTTGACTGAGTTTAAATTTTCAAATAGGTGGCAACCCTCATCAAAAATACTTCCAGCAGTTATGTTTCTTAAACCTCTTTAACTTGATACCCATATTGTAATAATTCATTAATTTTATCAATATAATTGGGTTTCAAAATTTTAAAATAGGTGGCAACCCTCCAAATTTTTGCGAAACCATTGGTTCTGGTATTATACCGAATAATAAAAAAAATTATTCAAATCGGTTCAGTCGTTCTCGGGTTTTGATGACCGTGACATACGAACACAACATTTTTATATATATAGATATACATAGAAGATGTCCAATGTGTGCTTTCGATTTTAATCTTTGACCACAACAAAAACTCCACATTGTATATTCGTGAATGAACTTTCAGTTTCTCGATTACTTTTACAATTCCTTTGAGTAATTGAAAAAACTAAAGTACTCTTACAATTCCACGTAATGGAATTGAAAAAAATCAATTACATTTTCAATTCCTTTCAAAGGAATTGGAAAAAAAATTACTGTTGGAATAACATTAATAGCATTTAATTCTTCTTTATTCAGTTTATTGATTTAGTAGGTTAACTTTTTACAAATTTCAGCTGTGTATCTGTATCAGCCGATACGAATAGAAATATAATACAGAATAGTAAAAAACGTAATATATAATTCACAATTCATTTCATTATAGCCTATGTTAAATGTTTTACAGGGTGATTCAACTTATGTAGAAACAAACTTTTAGTTCATACCGAACATTCTCCCCCTTTTAGAACGGCTGTTCTTAACCTTCTTCTGCGTAGCGTTGGTCGGAGTTTTGATCATAAGGCTTCGATTCGGAGGTGGGCAAGATACAAATTTTCGTGCTAGGTCGTTTTACTAACTTCCCGTTGCAAAAAAGTGTTACTACTCTCACCAAACCATCAGTTCCAGGGTGAAGTTCATGTATTTTTGCTAGTGGCCAGTAGCCGGGAGCGCTACGCTCATGCATTAACAAAACTACGTCAGCGACAGCATATATGTGCATATATTCATCGGTCCATCTGCGCCAGAAATGTTGTTTAAGCCGCTCCACGAGTTTCCAGCGAGTGAGTCGATCGATATTAGTGTCAAGTAAATTCTCTTCTGAAATGCATGTAGTTGGCTCACCCACAAGAAAATGAGCAGGTATTAATACCTGAGAATCATCTGGGTGCGCAGTTAAAGGGTACAATGGCCTCGAATTTAGGCAACTTTCAATTTGTGTGAGTAAAGTGTTCAGTTCCTCATAAGTAAGTGTACGATCTTTCATTACTCGACGCAAATGATGTTTGCTCGACTTCACACCAGCTTCCCACAAGCCTCCGAAGTGGGGAGACGCGGGTGGTATGAAGTGCCAGGCCATACCTTCGTTTGCTAGTGCCCCTGCTAGATATTCAGCGAGCTCAGCTTTCTGCCTTTTAAAGTAATTTTGCAGTTCTTTATCGGCGCCCACAAAGGTAGTTCCACAGTCG